GTGTAGCCCTAATATTCCGATTCATTATATATATGTTTTCCACTGTCCCATGGTCACAATTTTAGGGCTAATAGACAAATCGCCGCTGTGCAAAAGCTTATAAACAATCATAGTCAAACTCAAAAAGATTCGTTGATATAATTGAAGGTTCGGCATTTTTTACTATGGTTTCCTCATATGATAAATCATATATGATTACTAATTGTTGTTGTCTCTTATATACAGATTCGTCATGGTGTCAGGTAAACATATGTTCGATCTTTTTAATATTATGATTCTATTCTTTTCTCTAGATCTTATGATGATAGTTATCATGCCATGAGATCAACTTATTGATTTTTTTTTATGATTCTTTCAGGTCCTCCTTTATAGATTCATGTCTCAAGTTATCATGCCATGAGATTAACTTATTGATATTTTTTTATATTTTTTGGTATCTATATATTGATAGGGGTACTGATCTTTTCTATCATGTTACTGATTAATAAACCCTAAATTAACGATATGATCTCATCGATGCTCATATATAAATTCTTCTCTTTTTTTATAATAACACTTAACCAAATCATTACCTTTCTGTTTTTGCTTTATAAATTTGCATGGTGGTTTTCTCTTCTATTTTTTATTTATTTTAACTTTTGCTCTTTTCTTGCAGGTTCGTTTACATAATGCACTTCTATATTTGATCGTCTTTTCTGTAATATTCGATTACTCATATGTTGGTTTAACGTTTTGTAGATTTTGCATATTGATTATGTTTCTGAAAACAAGGTAATGTTTTTGTATCTTTCTTCCACTTTTCCAAGGTTCATGATAATGTTTTTTGTTTTGTTTAAGAGGAGTCAAAGCTGAAGGAACTAATAATAAAATCATGTCAATGGTTTCAGGTATTGATTCATCCAAATTGTCTTATACGGTCGGAATTTCTCTTGTGTCTGAGTTAATATTGTAGCTAATTTATGTGGAGTTTTTCAGTGATAAAAAAAATTAGGAACTCTAACGTTTTTTTTTACATTGATTTTTTCATAGTTAGCAGAAGAAAAATGAAGGAGTGTAAGATTAACAACGAATATGATCTCGAGTAGAAAACATCACCGTCAATGAGCTTTCCAAGGTTTGGTCTTAAAATCTCTAACTCTAGCTAGCTATCAAGTTTCTTATATATATATTATTTCTAGTGATAAAAATATATGGTTTTACTTTGTTCTCGGATATGATGGATGCAATAATTCTCTAGAGATTTCTTTTGAATTTAGGGTTCTTTTAGTTATTGTCGGTCAAGACAAACTCAATTTCGAACCTTCTAAGGTCACTTG